GGTCCCTCTGCGGCTGCGCCTTGGCGACCAGCCCGGGCCCCACGCTCACGGAGGGACAGAGCACGGCACGAGCACGAGCTTCCGGAGGACCAGGGCGGAAGTTTCCTGCATCGGCGCTGGCCCTCCCCTCTCCCCTGACGACGCCTCTGGTGCCGCCCCGGGCGCGCCGCCTCGCGCGCCGGGGGGGGGGGGGGGGAGCCAGCGCCGCCCCAAGAAGCCCGCGCAAGCCTCCGAGAGGTCACGCTCGTGCCGACTTCTGCCCCTCCTCGCTCAGCTGGCCGTCCAGCCGCTGCAGGACCGCGGCGCGCAGCGCCGCGTCCTGGAAGGCCACGACGGCGCAGCCCCCTACGGCGGCCTTGCGCACCTGCACGCGCCTGCCCGCCGCGCGGGACGGCGCTGCCCGCGCCAGCGCTGCCTCGGCCTGCGCGGCCAGCGCCTCGAAGCAGCGCAGCAGCTCCCGCTCCGCCACGGGCGACTTCTCCTCGGCCTTGCGGCCCCAGCTCGCGAAGATGTCGGCCGGCACCTCCTCCTTTGTGGCCTGGTCGATCTGCGGCTGCAGCTTCACCTCCACACCTGACTGGACAACAATATGCTCGTGCTCTCGCAGTAGAGCTCGCCGCACGTCGGCATCCTGGAAGGAGATGGTGGCCCAGCCTCCCACTGCAGCCTTTCGTACACGGACGCGCCCGCCCGCGGCCGCCCCGGCCCCTGCAGGCTGGGAGTCGGCGCTGGCCGCTGCCTTGCGGTCCTTACCTCTTGAGCCTGGATCTGAATCTCCGCGGCCAGCCTCTTCTCCCTCGTCCTGCACGCCCATCTTCTTCCCGCCATGGACGATGATGACCTCGACTCTGCCTTCATTTTTGTAGTCGCACTCCCCAAGCTCGTCTCTCTTTTAGCGGCGCGCACGAGGGGGTGGGCAAAGGGGGGCGGCCTTCTTGAGAGGACGGGTGGGGCTTCTGAGAAGGCAGGGGCCCTTCTCAAAAGCTCTCCAGACTTCTGAGAGAAGCCTGCTCAGAAGCCTCCGGGCCCTTCTGCGCAAGAAGGCCCCTGCCTTCTCCAAGAGCCAGCCGGCCCCCCTGCGAAGACCCGTCTCATCGACGACCTCACGCGAAGGGCCGGGGAACCGATGGGTCCCCGAAGGGGGGGGGAGGGGATTGGAGGCCTGGAAATGGGCACCAACACCAACACAGGGGGGTGCCTCCACAGGGGGAAGGTGATCCTAGATTTCGGTGTTGGTGGTAATATTTCGGCCACCTTGGAAGCCAGAATGTTAACACCATCACCGAGATCGGGATCTTCTTCCCTCGGTGGAGGCACACCACCGAAATTGGTGTTGGTGTCAACCTCTAGGCCTGCGAGGGGAGCGGCAACGGCTCCCTCCCGATGTGGCTGGTCTGAGGAAGCCCCCGCCAGCCCAAGTTGGCCCAGGAGGCTGGCCCCCTCGCCGCGCCAGCTCTGCAGGGAAGGCCCAGGATCGGATCGCTCGGTCGGATCGGCGACGGCAAGGAATCGGATGGGCGGAGATCGGCAAGCGAGTCGGGAGAAGCCGGATCGATGGAAATCGGCTGGCCAACTGAGAAATCGGAACTCGAGTCGGAGTCCGAAGTCGAACGGAATCGGAATCGGAAGCCCTTGGAATCGCATCGAGCCGAAACGGGGGAATCGAAGCGAGCCCCGTCTCTGGCGCGCCGCCGATTCTTGTCAATCTTCACGTTGCCACACGGCGTGGCGTCGACCTTGACTTTCTCGGGGCGCGGTCTGCTGGCCACCCGGAGGGCCAGAGGCAGGAGCAGAGCGTTTGTGCAGGTCCACCTCCCTCCTCCTCCTCCTCCTCCTCCTCCTCCTCCTCCTCCTCGTCCTCCTCCTCCTCCTCCTCCTCCTCCTCCTCCTCCTCCTCCTCCTCCTCCTCCTCCTCCTCTTCATCCTCGCTGGATTCGCGGGTGTTCCCCCTTCCTGGAAAGGGGGGGAGAAACGAGGGGGATCTGTGCCGCTGTCCTCGTCCGAAAGGGGGACCAGATCCTCCGTTCCTTAGAAAAGACACGCCAGCATTAGCGGCACGCAGAGAGGGCCTGGGGCGAGGAGGGAGCCGGCGTTCTGAGAAGGCGGGGGGGGCTTATTGGAAGGGCCTGAAGGCTTCTAGAAAGGCGTCGTGGAGCATGAAGGCCCTCTCAGAGCCCCCCTGCCTTCTGGGCAAGGGGAGCTCCCCCTCCCCTCGACGCGACCAGGGTCCGAAAATCGTCCCCCCTGGTTTGCTCCTCAGTGCCCTTTGCGGCCTCCAGGGGACTCCAGGACGTCCAAAAACCGTCAGAAAAAGATTGCGAAACGCCCACGGACAGTCCACAGACAGACCAGCGAGCCCCAAAGCTACAAGAGCTCCCCGAGACGCCCAAAAAGATGGGCGAAATTCATTGCGAAAACCATCCGAACAAACAGGTGGATTGCTTCCGACTTGCTTCGGCTTCAGGACAGATCAGATAGCCGCAAGAAACAAAGACGGCCCAACAAGGCACAAAGAGAGCCACAAGACTGGGCGAGGAAACCCCCAGAACGGCCCAAGAAAGCTCCACGACAGCCCCACCCGCCCATCCCAGTGGTCCCCAAGATGATCCCCCTATTTAGGCCTTTTGGGGAAAGTTCGGCCAAGACGGCCCCGAGCCCCCCGACTGGCCCTCCACGGGCCCTCCGACGAATGCCACAACAGGTGCCCAAGAGCTCCCGAAGAAGCTCCCAAGAAGCCTTCGAGATCCTTCAAACAGGGAGGAGGGGGATGAAGAAAAAGAGAGCGGGAAGGAAGAGGAGATCGAGGCTGCGAACAAGGAGAGGGTACTCAAGATCCACGCAACTAAGACAGGTAACTGAACTGCAGTGGTTCTTGAAGTCAACCCTCGTTGCTGCTGCGCTGCTTCGTCGTTCGCTGGCACGGCGGCGGGGCTTGCCGCGGGAAAGTGGAGAATCGTAATCGTTTTCTGGCACCCGGGGGGTCTGCCCCAGCTGTCCGATCTGCTCCCTCGGTCCTCAGGGTGGCCATCTGACCACGGCTCTTGGAGTTCCTCTGCTTGCTGCGATCCACACAGAGGGCAGCACAGTGCTCCTTGAGGTCGGCCCCAGGCTCTTGCTTGTTGCACTCCAGCACCTGCCGCCGCAGCCTCCTCATTCCCGATTGGTTCTCGTCCCCCTACGCCACCGACGTCACCCCATGCTCCTCCCGCATCCTCATCATCACGATCGCCGTCGTCATCATCCTTCAGCATTACTATCAGCAGCATGTTGCATTATCACATTCACTATCGTCGTCGTCATTATCAGCCTTACGATCCGCAGCTTCAAGAGCATCATCATCATCATCATCATCATCATCATCATCATCATCATCATCATCATCAGCATCATCATCACCATCATCATCATCATCATCAGCATCATCAACATCATCATCATCATCATCATCATCATCATCATCATCATCATCATCATCATCGACATCGTCGTCATCATCATGAACATCATCATCATCATCAGCAGCATCATCATGGTCATCATCATCAACATAACCACCACCACCACCGCCATCGTAATCGCAGTCGTCGTTATAATAACCATCAGCAGCAGCATTACCAGCATTAGCAGCATCAGCCTCATCAGAAGCATCAACATCAGCAGCATCAGCATCGCCATCATCATACCAATACAATGATAATGACCATAACCATGATAATAACAATAATATCAACAATAGTACGAATAAAAAATAGTAGCAATCATAACAAGAACAATTACGACAACGTTTAAACACAACAGAAACTAGTGAAAATGAGAATACGAATAATCGAGATAACAAGACAGCTAAAACACATAAATGTACCCTTAACAATGATACGACAAATAATGCTATTAATGAGTAAAATGAATATAGAAAAAAGGACTGCAAAGAATACGACCAGCCGTGATAGTACCAAGAAGAAGAATGATAGTCGTCATCAGCTTAATCATCAGCAGCATCATCATCGTCATCATCATCAGCATCATCATCTGCATCAGCATCATCAACATCATCATCAGCATCATCATAATTGCCAGCAGCATCACCATCATCATCAGATCAGCATCATCATCATCATCATCAGCATCATCATCATCATCCTCATCAGCATCATCATCATCATCATCATCATCATCCTCATCATAATCATCATCAGCATCGTCATCCACATCATCATCATCATCATCATCCTCATCATCATCATCATCAGCAGCAGCAGCATCATCTGCCGCATCATCACCATAATCAGCACGATCAGCACGATCAGCATCATCATATTCAGCAGTACCAGCATCAGCAGCAGTATCGTTTTCAGCAACAGCATCATCAGCATCGTCATCAGCATCATCAGGAGAGTCATCATCATAATCATCATAGTCCTCATCGTCGCCACGAGCAAGTCATCATGGTCGCCGTACAATTGTGAAGCATGATCGGCATGTGCATCCTCATTACCAGCTACCGTCGTCGTGCGCCTTACCGTCAGCAGCGGTAGCAGCAGCCCCAGCAACAACATGATCAACAGATGTGTCATAACCCGCGTATCGTCATAAACAGCATCTGCATCATCATCATTATAATCCTCATCATCGTTATCCTGCCCGTCCTCATACTCCTCGCAACCTCAGCATCCCCATCGGCATCATCATCCCCATCCACATCATCTTCACCGCAACCATCGCCGTCATCATCCACACAGTTTCTATCCTCGTCTTCCCTCTTCCTCCTTCTCTGCCAGGACCTCGCCTCGTCCCTCAACCCTCCACCCTGCCCCCCTCCCCCCACCCTCCATGCTCCTCGTGCTCCGTGGTCTCACCCACCCCACGCCCCCATAATTCCCCCCACACCCCCCCCTCCTCCCTCCTCCCTCGCCCTTCTCCGCTGACATCCCCTCCTCATTCATCCACGCGCCTGCGCACTCCTCCCCTGTCAGTCTCCTCCTCGTCATCGTTCTCATCGTCCTCCTCATCCTTTATCTCTTCTCTGCGGGAGCCTCTACCGACTTCCTCCTCCCTCCGCTTTCTCCCGCCCTCTCTCCTCACCGTCCAGCCTCCACCTCCGCCCACCCGACTGGTCACGAGCCGACACCGCGGTGACAGTGACCCGCAGGCCCGAAGGGGCGGTGGAGCCTGCCACGGTGCGGGCGCGCAGCCATCCCAGCGGGGCCCATGACACAAAGAAACCGCACACCAAGAGAGGTCGCTGCTCACCCTCTTCCTCCTCATCCTCCGTTTCCTCCTCCTCCTCCTCCTCCTCCCCCTCCTCCTCAATCCTCCTCCTCATCCTTTTCCTCCTCCTCCAGCATCATCATCATCATCATCATCATCATCATCATCATCATCATCAGCATCAGCATCAGCATCAGCATCAGCATCATCATCATCATCATCATCATCATCATCATCATCATCATCATCATCATCATCATCATCATCCTCATCATCCTCATCCTCATCCTCATCATCAGCAGCTGCAGCAGCAGCAGCGACAGCATCATCAGCATCATCATCATCATCATCATCAGCATCGTCGCCATCAGCATCAGCATCACCATCACCATCACCATCCACCATCCACCATCCACCATCCACCATCCACCATCACCATCACCACCATCATCATCATCAGCATCAGCAGCAGCGGCATCAGCATCATCATCAGCAGCATCAGCATCGTCATCGTCATCATCATCAGCATCATCATCATCATAATCAGTAGCATCATCATGATCATCATCATAATCAGTATCATCATCATCAGCATCATCATCATCGTCGTCATCATCATTATCAGCATTAACATCATCCTCATCATCATCATCATCATCATCATCATCATCATCATCATCATCATCAGTATCCGCATCATAATCAGCATCATCATCGTCATCGACATCATCATCAGCATCAGCAGCAGCAGCATACTCGTCATCGTTAGCATCGTCATCGTCATTGTCATCATACTAAAAATAATCACCATCATCAGCATCATCATCATCATCAGCAGCATCATCATCATCATCATCATCATCATCAGCATCATCATCATCATCATCAGAATCATCATCATCATCACCATCATCATCAGCATGATCATAAACGTCATCATAATCATCATAATCATCAACATCGTAATCATTTCCAGCAGGATCATCATCGTCATGGTCATGAGATTCATCAGCATCGCCATCGCCATTGTACCTAATAATAACAACAACCATCATCATCATCATCATCATCAGCATCATCATCATCATCGTCATCATCATCATCATCGTAATCCTCATCATCATCGTCATCATTATCATCATCAACATCATCATCGGTATCATCATCATCAACATCATCATCATAATCGTCATCATCAGCAGCATCATCAGCAGCAGAAGCAGCATCAGCATCATCATCACATTTATCAGCAGCATCATCATCATAAGAATCATCAACACCATATCAATCATCTTCATCATCAGCATCAACATAATTATAATCAGCATCATCGCAATCAGCAGCATCATCGTAATAATCATCACCACCACCACCACCATCATCATCATCACCAACATCATCATCAGCATCGTCATCCTCAGCATCAGCAGCAGCATCACCAGCAGCTTCATCATCAGATTCATCATGCTCATAATCATCATCAGCACCAAAGACAGCAGTATCAACATCACCAGCCATATCTTCATCGTCAGCATCATCAGCAACATGAGCATCAGCACCATCAGCAGCACCATCTTCACCCGCAGCATCATCATCAGTAGCAACATCAGCAGCAAAGGCCGCATCAGCATCATCAGCATCATCAGCATCATCAGTACTAGAATCATCACCATCATAGCAGCATAATCATCAACAGCATCCGCATCATCATCATCATGATCATCATCATCATCATCATCATCATCATCATCATCATCATCATCATCATCATCATCCGCATCGGCATCATCAGCATCCTCATCATCCTCAGCATCATCAGCAGCAGCATCATTATCGGTATCACCATCATGAACATCATCGTCCTCATCATCCTCACCATCATCATCAGCAGCATCAACAGCATCATCATCATCCACCTCCCTCCTCATCCCCCGTCCTCCGTCTCCTCCTACTCCTCCTACGACTCCTCCCGCTCCTCCCTCATCATCAGCATCATCATCCTCATGCTCACCCTCCTCCAGCCCTCCCTGTCTCCCTCCCTCCGTCCTCCTCCTCCTCGCCATCATCATCATCAGCGTCAGCATCAGCATCAGCATCATCATCAGCATCAGCATCATCATCATCATCATCAGCATCATCATCATCATCATCATCATCATCATCATCATAAGTATCATCATCATCATCATCATCATCATCATCAGCATCATCATCATCATCATCATCATCATCATCATCATCATCATCATCATCACTCATCATCACTCATCATCATCATCATCATCATCAGCA